GGTTATGTTTCAAAATTTCCCAGGTATGCTTCTAAATATTATCAACTTGGCTATTTTCCACTATGTTGCCATGTGTATTTTTTTATTAGGATTTGTTTCTAAATATTGTCAAGCAAAATTATAAACAAATGTCTGATGTGGGGTTAAATGGGACATGTCCCATTTTACCCCATAAAAATTAAAACAAATTACTACGGTTCAACAATGTGTCCCATTTTAACTTATAAAAATAAGTTGGTTTTTGTTTTCAGCAAGGCTATAGGCGACAAGTTTGATGTTTATTTAAAACAATTATGCGTGAAAATATTGTTAGTTAAGAAGAGGTATATACTTATTATTTATAAAGAATAAATGTTCACCTTTTCACTTAAAACTTTGGTTTTCTTCTTTTTTTTTTAAAGTTTCACACAGCTAGAACTTTTTTATTTTGTTTCTTCTTGTCCCATGTTGCTTTAGGAAGCTCCTAACTAAAGATTCAACGAAAATTTCAAGATGTCCTAATTTACCCCAACTTCCCTGGTAACTTGGGACAGCTACTAATTAATTTTTTTTTTGGCTTCGTACTTTTTTTTACTATTATGTTTATTTTTATTGGAAAATAACCTGACTCACTATTTGAGCATGATTTGAAAATGATTTTCCTAAATTCATCAAAGTTATCCAAGCTTGAATGTTGAAATTGTCCCAAGTAACCCCGTTTGACGGAACATAAAAAGCCACGAATGTCTTGGGTGCTTTTATCTACACACTCAAAGTTATCGGACACGAAGTAAATCTTTACTGCACATTCCTTACTGTCGTACTTGGTACTTACTATTCAGTCCTGTTCATAGAATATCTGCCAATGTAAATAAGTTCTATGAGGGTCTTGACTTTTTCAAATTATTTCGTGATAAATTCAAGACGCGGGCCAAGAGAATTGTTTTAGGTTAGATTATTTTAGATTTAAACTTTGTACCACTTCAAATGTATGTATTTTTTTTATACGTAAATAAATAAATAAATAAACTTCATGAAGAAGTTGCTGCAAATCAAATCTCATACCAATGTTCTCTCCAAATATAAAGACCAAATCAAGATAAATGCATGAGCTCAGATTGGAGCTTGCAGATATAAGACTCCAACTTTCTGCTTACTGTTATTCCCATAATTCTGCATCCACCCCTCAAGCTACTGACCAACTGACCACAACCTAGAAAATTAAATCATGAAAGTTCGGCAACGTTCACAAACCATCCTCAATCATCAAAAAACGAACCCACATGAACGTTTTGAAACCTCTGTAGTCTGTATACGAATTTCGAGTTCAACTCAAAAACTTTAGGTTTTGCGCAGAATCGTGTCGATAAATTGTACGGTTTCCTGCTGTGTTGGAGCAAAGCTTAAAACAACTTCGTAATAGTAAATAAGATATACGCCTTCGATATGCTAGTGGGAACGAGAATGTGTTTCTAGCATGTTAACGGGGTTTAAACGCTATCTACAAAAAAACTTAGAGCAAACCATCACCTCAACTAGGACATCTAGTCAACTTATTAGAATGTTCAGGGTCTCTGCTCCAAAACCTACAACTTCTACAAAAGCGTCGCTTTCTCTGGATATGATATTATGGCAGTCACAGAATCCTGATTCTAACCTAATATTTTGAACTCAGAACTGTTTCCAGAATCATACCATATAAATAGACAAATAGACTATTGATGGATGTCTCCAGAAAGGGGGTCATCTTCGGTTTTCACGAGAGATTTACATCTCAACTTCTGGACCTTACGTATTAATAATGTTTTGCCTAACATTGACTTTCTAGGTTGTAAGCTAGCTTTGTTTGTTTTGAATTCTCTGTAATTGAGTTTTGGCGTGTCAGAAATAATATAATGTGAATGTATTGTTTCAAAAACGTTGGTACTCGAGGTGGAATAATTGCACAATTGCTGGTGAGCAAAATCCAAAGTAAAGTCAACCAAAACCAGTAACAATTCTACGACTAGTAGATTGTATATAGTTCTAAACTCTTCTCCCATAACATATTCCAGCAGACGACACGGTGCTTTCTTCAGAAGAAGATTCCGTCTGAAGAAGGCACCGTATGGCGTATGCTGCAGCATGATACGGCATCAAATTAAAAAAAAATTATGAAAATTTAGAAAGGCTAAGTCTATGTGGTGGTCGATCAGGAAGTTTATAAGCAGAAGCAGAATTCTTCAATTTCCAAACGGTAGCGCCAAAGATTCAAAACAAATGTTGTTATTTACTTTAGAATTAAGCAATATGCAAGAGATCTTCATTGTAGCCACTTCAAAAAAGAGATTACAATAAACATTTGGTCAAAATGTCCCATAAACGCATACATAAAATAAAAATCGGCCCACTCTCATTTTTTCGGTGTGGCGCCGTGGGTTTAGGTTTCAAACTTCGCTCTTAAAAATGCTAAATGGAGGCGTAGAACGTATTTCTTCATTCAGCCTACACCAACCGCGTTTCAATAGATAAGTAAATTAATAATTGATAATATAATCAATATTGTAACGTCATTAACCATGTTACTGAACGGTGTTTATAGGTGCAAAATCTTAATGTGGGCTTTAAGATTATTTGTAAATCCAAGGAAAACGAGCCTGTTTAAGCCTTTGAAATGAAACATCTGTTCACTGGCCTATACAACCTACAAGTTTTGTTTTGAACTTGATTTTGATATTAACAAGATTTGGAGTATTTTTGGGCTATCGCTATGTAATAAGGTTTTTCCACCTATTTAATTATTAACTTTCTTCCAACAACGTTTGGATCGCTTTTATATTCTCTATTAAAATCTGGTGTAGGCAAAAGCAGCATTTCAAATGGTCCAAAGTTTAGGGAGAATAATAGACCTCACAAGCAGGAGCAGGACTCACCAGTGTTGTTCAGATGTCAAATTTAAAATTATCAGGATTTGAGAACAAAATTATGGGATTCCAAGAAAAATTATCAGAAAAAGTTTCTGTCAACTTTTTTGACATTTTATCTCTATTTTCATTTTTCGGGTTTTAGCTGGGACTCTGGCAATTGTAGCTCTCAATAAGAGCTTCAAAAAAGGTTATTCAAGACTTCGAGCCCAAGGGCTTCATTTTCAAGATAATCAGCTTTGAAGCTTTTGCAAAATTTGAGACAAAGTTTTAACTTTGAGCTTCAATATCTTTAAAAGTATTCAAGATATAGAATTGAATCTTGTTTTATCTTGGAAGATTCAGAATTTATAATTTTACATTATATTTGTTACAATAATAACAGTAATCAGCAATTTTTTGAGCCCAAAAATTGCAAAAATCGTTTTTATTTTTTAACAAGGCTTTAAAACCCAAAAAGGAAAGTTCTGAAAATGCTTTTCTACTAATTTTAACCTCTTCTTTCGATTGGCGAAGTCAAGAATTGCAAAATCCATAAAATTTAAAAATTCGATTTTTTCCAAAGGGGTATGCATGGAAATTTGATTTCCAAATATTTCAAAGGGCCATATTTTGAAAACCAGTGAAGCTATTGGCATGAATCTTTTACCCAATCGTAGCTCTTAATAAGGGCTACAAAAAAGGTTATTTAAGACTCCGAGCCCAAGGGCTTCGTTTTCAAGATAATCCGCCTGGAAGCTTTTGCAAAATTTGAGGTAAAGTTTTAACTTTGAGCCTCAATATCTTTAGAAGTATTTATGATATAGAATTGAATCTTATTTTATCTTGAAGATAATTTAATTCTGATTCAGAATATATACTTTTAGATCATATTTGTTATAATAATAACCGAGTAATCAGCAATTTTGTGAAATTTTTTGAGCCTAAAAATTGCAAAAATCGTTTTTATTTTTTAACAAGGCTTTAAAACCAGAAAAGGAAAATTCTGAAAATGCTTTTCTACTAATTTAAACCTTTTCTTTCAATTGGTAAAGTCAAAAATTGCAAAATCCAAAAAATTTAAAAATTCGAATTTTTCCAAAAGGGTATGGAAATTTGATTTTCAAATAATTCAAAGGGCCATATTTTGGAAACCAGTGAAGCTATTGGCATGAATCTTTTGCCCAATTGTAGCTCTTAATAAGGGCTACAAAAAAGGTTACTTAAGACTCCGAGCCCATGGCCTTCGTTTTCAAGATAACCCGCCTGGAAGCTTTTGCAAAATTTGAGGGAAAGTTTCAACTTTGAGCCTCAATATCTTCAGAAGTATTTAAGATATAGAATTGAGTCTTATTTTATCTTGAAGATAATTTAATTCTGATGCAGAATATATAATTTTACATTGTATTTGTTATAATAATAACCGAGTAATCAACAACTTTGCGAAAGAATGTCAGATTATTGAACTTTTTTGAGCCCAAAAATTACAAAAATTGTTTTTATTTTTTTACAAGCCTTTAAAATTCTAAAAACTAAGTTGCAAAAATGCTTTTTCACTAATCTTGATCTCCTCTTTTGATTGGTGAAGTCAAACATTGTAAAATATTTTGGAAACCAGTGAAGTTATTGACATGAAAGTTTGGCTCAATCTGGGACTAGTGTTTGGTGCTCGCACCAGTACGTCAAAACACTCGAAACCAACAACCACCTTCAATTTTTTAATAAATTTTTAATTTTTAACTAGAAATTTGAAAAATCTATATTAAAATTGTAGTTTCAATAAATTATGGTAGATTAGCTTGTCAATATCGATTATTGAATCGTAGTCAAAATTATGGTAGAATTCGATAATTATCGGGTCATTGGCAACACTGGGACTCACTTCCCTTTTATTCTTCCTTATATCAATTTCTATGACCAATTAAATTAAACGATTTCAAGGTTCGTTTTCTTCAGGGGCCCCATAACTAACCCAATAAACGCAACAGGCACTTTAAATCTATTTTAAGTGTCAATTACTTAATTAGTCTGGGGGTTCTGTAACTAATTTAATCCGGCTGACCTTTGTTGGCTCGCGTTCGATGAAATTTCATTTTTAAATTGATCGAAAATAACTGATATTTATTTATTTATTTCTAGATGATGAAGCACGTGCAGCTTTCTCCTTACAGGAGCAGAGCTGATACAGTTTCATTGAGCTCGACTACGTCATACGGAAGCCTCAGTCCTGAACCACTGGGAAGCAGATCTTCTAGTTATTCATCTTTAAATGAATCTTCGATTCAAGTAAGTATTGGTATGGCATATTTACCTAGTAAATAAATAGTGAAGTATAAAACTGGCGCCATCTAGTTTGTGATTGATTTGCTTAGTGGGGTTTTAACATCATTTTCAAATTCCTAATGTGTGCATGAGGATTTAAAATGCAAACATGATAAAGTTTCAAATGTTTATAAGGATTATTATTGTGCTCCACAGACGCCATTCATGTCGCTTTTTCTGACGATGCAAAAAAAATCGTAAATCTTTAACGCGCCTCATTAACAAACTATGTCGCTTATTTAAGCTTCCTTTCATTTTTGTACCTAAACGGGTCAAATGAACATAGATTGGAATGTATCATATGAACATGCAGTTCCAAAGTGTGTTGAGCAAAAACAAGAGTTGTAAAATGACAAAATTAACAGTTAGCAACAATAATAACAATACTGACGACATCATTAACGTTGAATTATGAGTTAAAAGAGAGGAAAAAACTTCACAAATGCGTGAGAACTTTGTGCTCTTTTCCCGTGAAATTGGGTTGCCTTGTAAGGCCACAAGGCTCTGACACATAATTTGCTTTCTTTTCTGATTGAGAAATGCGTGATTTCATGAAAGGAATCTAGAAAACTACGTCATAAATGTTTTTTCAATGTTGACAATATTCAGTAACATTCTATCAGCGATTTTGCAGGACCAAGTTTTGTCTAGCAAAGTTACAAAGTTTTTAGACAATATTTTTTTTGGGAACATTTCATCTTTTTTTCAGACTCTTTTCTCAACCAGAAACTTTTCAAATTTTTAACGGATCGATTTTAAATTTTACTGTGATGATATACTCCAAACCATCTTCTAACTGACTATCCTCAAAATTGGCAAATAATGCTCCAAATTAATTTTAAACGAAAAAATCAAACATGAAATTTAATTTTTAACTTTCATAGAAAATTTCTGAAAATTGTTTTCATTAAAACTTTTTGATGTAAAACGGTAGGATAAAAAGATGATCCACGTAAAAAGCTTAATCTTTCTTAATGCTCCGCTAATCTCAAAGTATGTCGGTTTCTTGTAACATCCTATTGTTCTTTTTCTTTCGCACTCCACTTGAAGCCCACTCCGATGAGAAAGAAAGAAAAGGAAGAAGCCCAAAGAACGAAAAAAGAAGTTCCCATCGGATGTTCTCATGGTGTCAAGTGGCATTCGGGCTTGTGAGATGCACATTGCGACCCCCATTGATGGTCTCGGCCTTCGCATAATGTACTAAATGTTATAAAAATCCTACGGCACCTGTTGCTTTTTTATAATAGCCATATGCTTTAATTTAGAATTTTTAATTATGGTGGCCCATGGTAGGTAGGACTGAAGAAATTCAGATTTTTTGCCGCTATATCTTTGAATAAAACAAATATTGCAATAATCATTGAAAGTCAAGCACCTTTAATCTTATCAATAACTAATAATAAAATAGAATCATTGATGTATTTGAATTACTCGAAAAAATAGTCTATAAATCAAAATATACTATTGTTAAATTAATATTTATGTGACACTTTTATCAATTTGCGTTTACTTTGAATGTTTAATTTATGACAAAAATTCAGGTCACATTTGGGGTACCTCTGTCCTCTATCCAAATAAAGCAAAAATCACTCTTCGATTTGTAATAGAAAAACAGGAAATGTACACTTTACACCACACAGGGATCATTGAGAACCACTTATTGTTACCCATGAGAAGGAAGTACACTTGCCGTTTTTGGCCCTCACACCATAAAATCGTAATATAATAAGAATAAAAGGCAAGATGATGGACAAATGGCCCTAAAAGGTTCAATAAGTTCATGCCCAGAAATCTTTAATGTGTTAAAAGGACAATAACCACATCCGTTTGGTGAAGGTTCGGTATAGTCTATAGTATACGAGCATTTTTATACAAAATTAGATGTTTGACATAATATTAGAATATTTTATATTATTGAAGCTGGGATTATGTGATAATAAAAATAATTTCGAATAAAAAAAATAACATTAAAATGGAATAGGTACTTAAATAGCTGCTGTGAACTGAGTGGCGGGCTCTTTCTAATTTCCTAGATTACCTATTCCTTTCACGGTAAATTCAATTGCCAAAAATTCTAGTTATCGGGAGTATATCAATCGTACAAAATACGGGTTTAGGGAATATTTCCAGCCTTCTTTGATACTTCGTATATTTGGAATGTCAACCCTGGGAGGTTTTTCCAGACTATGATTGTGCACATTTTCCTGCACAACTTGAGGATAACGTAAATTTGGCAACGTTGTTCCTCATTCAGTTGAATAGTGACAATATTCATCAATTAGCAGAATATTTCCATAGGTTCACTTTTCTTATAGTGGTAGTTACCCATAGTTACCTATATTCTACATCTGGTAAATTACAGGTTCATATTTTTAGGTATTGAAAATATTGTTGTCTTTCTTCTAAATTTATCCCCATTTTCTCTTTGTTCGGCCAAAATCTCAGCATTTTTATCAATTTTGAGTAACCGGTCTTCAATACTGCAAAATAAGAGGGATGTCTTGGGATCCTGCCAGTGGCGAATACAGTGGGGGGGCAGGGGGGCAACTGCCCCCCCCTTTTTAAAATAAAATAATAAAATTTAAAAAAAAGAAAACAAAACTATATTTTAAGTTTTAAGAATGTTTAGAAAGCTGGAAACCTATAAAAAATCACACTTTTGTCTTTGTCCCAAGAACTTTAACCTCAAACAGTATATCATTAGTGGTTGAGTTGATGTATTGTTTTTTTTTTTGTTCTAATAAATAAATATCCAAACAAAATCAATAAGATTATGACGTACAGGGTGTTTTTTTATATATTGACATCCCACCTACAGCCCTTACCTTTATAGGTAGATGAAAGGTGTAAATACAAAAGTTGTACAGTATTGGCTAAATTTTTAAAATCCATGGTCAAAAGCAAAAATTGAATGTCAGGAATGTGAAATATTGCATGCTTTCAGCTTTTTTCAAATGGGATGCGCTATATTTGGTAGGTACTATATTCTTGAAAAACACAATTTCTCGATTCCAAAACTATATAGTTTGTCTATATTTGGTTGAGCCGTCTCCAACATATTTAATTGTAAATTTTTTTAAAATACTATCATAGAAACCAAGTACCTTAAACTTTACCTGCAGCTTTCACCTGTACAAGTAGAATGGTTCACAAAATCAGTAGTAGGATAGTATTTTTACAATTTTTGAAGCCAAATATATGAGAGATTGCTGGGCATCTCATTTGAAAAAAGCTGGAAGCATGCAAAATTTCACATTTCTGACATTCAAATTTTGTTTTGATCATGGTTTCTAAAAATTCAGCCAAAACTGTATAATTTTTGTATTTACACCTTTCTTCTACCTGTGTAGGTAAAGGCTGTAGGTGGGGTGTTAATATATAAAAAAACACCACATTATTGCGGAACTTATGGGTGGACCTCTGCGCGACGAGCGCAGCAAGTTCCGCAGCCATCTACTCACCAATATACTATCGAACTGTTCAAATAAGACATTCACCTGAAACGTGTAGTTTTTGAACTAATGAAAAAAATTCTTAACTGAGTGAATCAGGTTAGTATTGTACTTGAACAACATATTGGTGAATAGATGGCTGGGTCCACCCATAAGTTCCGCAACAATCCACTCGTTTGTACTTGAATAACTTGTCACAATATATTACTAGTTTGGTAAAGTAACATTACTAATTCCTGTTAAAAGGCCAGTTGACAAAAAGTGGATAATAAATCGCAGACGTCCACCCATAAATTCCGCAACAATCCACTCGTTTGTACTTGAATAACTTGTCATATTATGTTACTAGTTTGGTAAAGTACCATTACTAATTCCTGTTGAAAGGCAAATTGACAAAAAATGGATAATCTTACAAATTCTGACTTTATATTATAAGTTATTGTTCAAGTACATACCTACCTATTTAAAATCACCTTATTCTCCTAAATAGTTCCCCCATTTCCATATTTTTATGGGCCATTCCTTCGAAAAACCGTATCTTGCACAATGTGCTGCCAAAACTAACCCAAACTAACCCAATCTGGCTTACTTTAACTTAAACTGCCCCCCCCCCTTTCAAAAGGCCTGTATCCGCCTCTGGATCCTGCACCGTTGATCGTTCAAATTTTTTGGTTCATAAATTGGCCTCCCAATCTCGTCTGACGTCGTTTTCATTCGTTGACCTGTCGGTAGTCGAGTAATACTACTGATGCATATTTTTGGGAAGTTCTGGACAAATTAAACATCTACTATAGTTACACGTCTCTAGTTTTATTGAATTTATATTTATTTTGGTACGAGTACAACATAGTGAGGTAGAAGAACAGGCCGGTTTTAGATCAGGAAAATTAACTGTAGACCAGTTGTTTAATTTGATCCAGATAATAGGAAAGAAACTAGCGTATGACCAAGAACTTTATTTATTCTTTGAAGATCTAAAGAAAGCATATATATGACAATATTCCACTGAAAAAGCTATGGAAAGCATTAGAAAAGACCAATATCGACTTAGAAATAATAAACGCAGTTAAAAGGCTCTAACACGTAAATTCTTAGAGGAATACGAGAAATGGGATTTGGAAGTAAATATAAGTAAAGCAGACTATTTGATTATAGCAGGCAGCAACAACGAACTATGGAATTGAATAACAGACAAGAGATTAAAAAAAAATGAATACAAACACATAATTATTTAGGAATGAAAATCCCGCATGAGGGAAACCTAGACGAAGCTATTAAAGATCGGAATATACAAGGACGCAAGGCAATATCCCTACCGAATGTGAGATCAAAATATCAACCGAACTTAGAAAAGTAGAACATACAACACCATAGTCAAAAGCATATAGTCACATAATATAGTTTAGAGGTCTGGCCACTAAAGAACAGAACTGCAAAAATGTTGGAAGCAACTGAAATGGACTTTTGGAGGAGAGCGGCAGGCAGGACAACAATGGAAAGAATAACGAACCA